GGAATGCTCTTAGCTACTTTATTCTTGGATAAAAGTCTTGCCTTCTAGAATAATTATCACTTGAAAGAAATCCTCAAGAAGACAACTTTAGTAACAAGTAACTTCACTAATCATGGACTTTCTAGCAAAAGAGAGAGGGCATTTTATATGTAGCATCTTTTTGGCAATGCTCAAAAAAATGCTATGTAGAAAGTGTCATATATGATTTGGTCACATTGGATACTCAGTATTTGTTTAAAGAATAAGTTGATAAATAAATCGCCCTTATACAAATGACACAGTTGATAGACACGATACAAATGCAAACATCTGAGATACGGAGGATGTTGGTGGAAAGTGTAGCGCATACCCCTTGTATGAGATGAGAAAGTCACGAAGGCATGTAGAAAGCAGGAGGTGATGGTTTATCAGAGGAAAAAAAATGGACTGATTAATGGTTGGAGAAGCAATATCATTAGTGAAAAATAAGCCATACTTTAAAAACTTAGAGGGGAGATAATAAATTAACTAAATGAATGAAGTACTGTCTTTCAGAACAGTAAATTATTATTTCTTAATAAATAAATTTGAGTATTAGAAAAATAACCAATTGCTCAATTATTTACTGAAGGCCTAAGTAACAACTGATAAAATGATAAGTCATAAGATGATTTATAATCTACATATGCCTTAGTATTATATCTATTACTCATATTTTCAATGTTGGTGACTCACAAACATTTTCCATATTTCTTCTAATCAGTTACATTTTGATGGTTTGGTAGTGTAGAGATGGAAGAGATCTTTAAGACTGTTTCACTAATATTTGGACCAAATTTTGCTAAATGTCATTGTTTACCTGCTGGAGGTACCACGGCCACATGCATCTTGCTTGGTCACTTCTTCATTGGAAAGTTGATTATAAATGATGATGAGATAGTATATATTCCATGTGACTATTACAAACATTAACATTACATGTACATATTCAATGTGTGTTCACATGGTGTCACATGCGTTCTGTTTGCTCATTTTCACTTTGTTAGCATAAAACTGGTATGTTCATTCTATAAATGCTCAAACATTTGCTGGGTATTTTCTCATCACACTTCCACAATTCTCTTCAGATGTCACTTTCTGGAGGAAACTCTTTGATTACTGAGACTCGGCTGAGTCCCTTATTACAGACCCTCTACCCCCGAAACAGCACTCACATAACTGTTAAAATTGTAATTTCTGTTTAATATCTAGCTCTGCTACTGCAGTATAAGTTCTCGGGGCAGAGAATCCTCCCTCTGGTGTTATCAGTATCTAGCATAATGCCTTGCACTAAGTAGCTAGACCTAGTGTATTGTCTGGCTCATATGAGGTACTTAACTAATGAATAAATACAATAAATAATAATTGAGCATCCAATAGCCATAGTTTGATTTGGTACATTTTTTCTTGGCCAAACTGCTATTATTTCTCATCTGAGATTGCTGACTTTATATTCTAGGCCCCTTAAGAATAATTCTCCTTAATTCGTTCAACAAGCATCTGCTATCACCTGTTACATATAACATTGAGCTTATCTATCAAATCATCCATTTTATTTTGATAAGTTGCTACCTAACAGCTAGTCAGGTAATTCTACCTTTTTTGAGTTAGAAGTTCCCTTAAAGATTATATAGTCCAAATTATTTTATAATAAAGCATTTCCTTCAGTAACACATCTGAAAATTAGTTATCTGGCATTGTTTAAGAACTTTTAACCACCTTAAAGACATTCACCTCTTTTCAAGGAAGCCTAAGCATTTGTTGTATGTCTCAAATGATTAGAAACTACTTGTTGTCTTGAACTCTGCTATGGTGTTACCCTCTGAACACATCTTCAACTTTCACATCTTGGACCTATCTATACTGGAAGGAAGCTGTTGTGCCTTCTCAAATGAATTTAAGCATTTGTGATTCCTTCACCTATTTCTCACTGAGGTTCTTCCCAGATTTATTGCCTTTCTGGTAATTTATATCTTATTACCTCTTTTAGAATGTGGTATCCCAAGTAAGCACAGTATTTTCCGGATGATCAAGTGAATTCTTTGAACAGTGATAATTGTGCTTTATGTGAGGTTCATTATAATCCCACGATTCAATATTAACTCACCAGCAGTTTGTCGTAAGATCACAGGGGATGGTAAAAAGAGTACTTTCATTAGTTGATCAGTACCCAATGCCACAGAAAAAATGAATAGAACAATAATTGGCTAAGGCACAGTTATATTTATCAATTATTTCCCTTCACAAATATCAATAATAATGAACCAATTAACCATTACTTTTGATTCATATAAGTGTCTACCTCCTTTTTAAAATCTGGTAATCCAAAACAACAAAATTATTTATACTACAGGTTTTTAAGTAAATGAATAACAAATTTATTAAAATGAGGATATGGTTTGGCTGTGTCCCCATCCAAGTGTCATCTTGAATTGTAGTTCACATAATCCCTACATGTCATGGGAAGAAGCCAGCAGGAGTTAACTGAAACATGGAGGCAGTTACCTCCATGCTGTTCTCATGGTAGTGAGTGAGTTTTCACGAAAGCTGATGGTTTTATAAGGGGCTTTCTCCCGCTTTGCTCGGCACTTCTTCCTGCTGCCTGTGAAAAAGGTACCTTGCTTCCCCTTTGCCTTCTGCCATGATTGCAAATTTCCTGAGGCCTCCCTAGTCATGCTGTACTGTGAGTCAACTAAGCCTCTCTTCTTTATAAATTACCCAGTCTCTGATATGTCTTTATTAGCAGCATGAGAACAGACTAACACATGGTGAATGTCTGCTGAAAAAAACACACTCATGATACAAGAGAAATAACATGCTGTGAAAGAGAGTACTGATATCCTCTGCTTCAGCCTGAGTATCAGACACGGTAAAACGTATTTCAGCATGTCCCTGGATCTGAATGTTTAATCAGATCATGTACCCTGAAACACAATTCTGCCATTAGGCAATAAGATATATTTCTGTTTCTCACAAATAATTGTCGTATTCTTAGTATGTGTTTTATAAACATGACACTCTGTATTTGATTTTTTTAATTGTTACATTTTTAAAACATGCATATATCAATGAGTACAAGTTAGAAAGAATGGGTAGAAAATAGGAAAAGTGTCTAACAATACCATGTTAATGAGGTTTCCTATTAGTAGTATCTTATGTTTTTATGGAATACTGCCCTCAGTAAAGTTGCATCAAATCCCTTTTGAGCTGAAGTTGGTATACAGAAACGAAGTATTGTTTAAATGTCCATTTTTCAATTATTCAGTCTATAATATGTATTTTGTGTAGAAAATATGCCCGACTAACAAGTCAGCAGTGGTGAAAATCATACTGTTAGGCCTTCCTGAGGAGGTAGCCTGTGAGGTCAAGTAGGTAAGATGTAGAAATCCATACTTTAACTGCTGATTTACTGTTACTTAGATTTTTCTCCTTAATATTTGATATTTTAGCACTTTTGATCTCTAATGCGCATTTTTCCTTAAGCATTCTAGAATCATACGTTACAGAAGACAGATGATTGAGAGGAATATTTCCCATCTCTCACTCTCTTTTTTAAAAATGCTGCAATTAAGACAGAGTCTAATTGGATTTCCTTTATGAAACTACTGTCTCAGAGCTCTTAATCACCTTTTTAAAAACTGCTTCTGTTAAAGCAATTTTATCAAAGTGGCATACAAAACTTCTACTAATCCTATAGTTTTGGAGAAGATATTTGGATATATTGACACCATAGTCAGGGGGAAAAGTAGTTAATTCCTACTCAACAGAGACACAGAAGCTCTACCAAGATACTTCCCTAAGAATAACCAAAACTGTCTACTCCCACTGCGTTAGTGTTTACTCTGACTCAAAGAAAGGGGAACAGGAGTAAAAGAAGCCCATTGAGGAGCCTGCTGACTCAGACTGGTTTTCTCACTGCTGCTGAAAAGGCCAAGCTGGGTTGCATAATTGAGAGAACTTAATGGTCAGTCATGGCATTGAAACAGACACATGCTTAATCACTTTTTCATGCTCCAGTAAGTAAACTGTTAATGGACAGATAACACCATCTTAATCTCTGTTACCACTTCATGGAAAAACAATACTACCAGCCACAGGGAAAGGAAATTTTAAAAATAATCGTAAGTGGGGTTAAAAAGTTTAAAGCCAGCTGACTGAATATGTGGCTTTGAGTTTAGCATTAACTTTCAGATAGAAATGAGTATCTGAGTAAAAGTTTACCCTTTTAGGAGCAAGAGCTACTAAAAGTTGGATAGACAGAACACTAAAGGTCTTTGTCCATGTGTGAAATTTCACAAGATGAACTGCCAGTCCAAATTTTGCTATAACCACAAGGGGGACACCTTCTGTAGATAGAAAAAAATAGACTGAAAAAAAAAAAGTAAAGGCTTTTAATGCATAATCCTCCTCTCCTCACCTGCTAACTCACTGAGGAAGCTGGTGAGAAACTATACATGCCAGGGAATTGCCATGCCATAGAATTTAGGAGATTCAGGCCCATTAGTATTCTCTCAGGATTGATTTTTGCCATCTTATTTCATAGATGGGCAGGCAGACTCTCGTGTAACCTGATTCCCAAGCTACCCACCTTCTAGTTTGTGTGTGTGTGTGTGTGTGTGTATTTTAAGCCCATTCAGCATATGGAGAAAATGAATATGTTCCCTTTTAACTGTCAAAAGGGATGTTTCATATGACAATGTGCTTTTAAACAAAACCAACTCTGTGTGTTTAAGTAAATTGACCAAAGAGGAAGGGGTAGGAAAAGAAAAACAGACATTTTTCTACTAAGTCATTAATCTCCTAATTCTTATTTTGTTTTCTTCCCAACTGAAATTGTCTTGGCTTTCAAAGGTTATTTAAATTCACATGAGTTCTTTCTTTGTATCAATTTACTATTACATACAACTTGATTTCTTTGCTTGTCTGAGATTTTTCAGGACTGTGTTTATGCCTTATAACTCTTAATATCTTCACTGAAATAGTTCAATAGGAGTGAAGAGAGCATATGAAATGCTCTGTGACTGAGATGTCTGTCTTCAGAGGGAGAGACTTACACTGCTATGTGAGACTACATCCCTGGGAAAGAGGAAATTATGTTGAATTTGGAAGTAGAACATCTGTGTCAGAGTCCCACATGATAATCCTAACTACAGTAACAGTAGTACTGTAATGATAAAAACTGTCATTCATTGAGTGCTTATTCTGCCAAGGAACAGCATTAACTACTTTACCAATATTCTCTCATGTAACTGTTGCATCAACCCAAGGAGGCTGTCTGAGTTTCTGTGTTACAGATAGGACATCGAAGCTTACAGAATGAGAGACACCTGCCTAAGGTGACATACTGCTGGCAATTTGTAACAGAAACATAATTAAAAAGCAAGTCTGCCTCCTCTATTTCACTATCTGTAAAACAAAGGTATAATGTACCTCAAATTTTGCCAGGCTTCAATGGGATTACATGAGCCCTCTAACCAAAAAAGCATATGTGCAGATGTATGTATGAAGGTGAACAGGCCGTATAGACCAGATGCAATATCAAAAATAGACTCCACACAAAGCAGGGTACAAGCAGAAGAAATACAGAGAAACTTTTCTTTTCGTGGTCATGGTCTGTGCCTTTTCACCCACCAAAAGTCTCCTCTCACTTTTCTGACATTCAGTGTTACTCACTAGAGATACCAGCCCAGCTCTTCCCCGCTGGTGTAGCAGGACTGTGACATACTATTGGAGGAGGACTAGAGAGTCACTTTCACTTTGGGATAAGAACGCTTTAGTTGGAGAAGGAGAGAGGATAGTAGAAAGCTTGAAAATAAAAGAACAGGCCCACTGAATTATCTTCGTGGATATAGACTTAGTACTTAACCTTTCGAGGTTTCAGCTCCGTCAAGAACCATTAAGTGGCTTCTTGACCGCCTTTCCTGGAGTGACTCTCTGAGCATCAGAAAGCATCAGAAGGTTTGCTGCCACAGTTCTTCCACAGGAACAATCCCCAAACTTCAGCCAATAAGACACTTTTCTAAATCTCCCCAAGCCAAAACAGCATCCCCTTATTAAAAACTTATTAGTCAGATTTTATAGCCTGATATAAAGAGAGGGAGTCCTTTTGCCTTCACTTGATGACGCACTGCTAACATTTTTGCACTGTCATTAAATCTGTGTTAAACACCAAAAGCTATCTTTCCCTTTCCTATCAAGAAACACTCCTGACAATTTCAATAACATTAAGCATATGTAAGATTTTCTTCCACCATGAAACTAGTGAAATTGTGTGGATATCCAACTTATTTTCAAGGAAGCTGGGCATCATCTAAACAACATCAGTCACGTGGAATATGCAATCACATATTTATAAGTGCATATACAATGTACTTGACTTTGAAGCATCTGGTTCATTAAAAGGCATGGCAAAATAAGTCTCTTGTTACTGTTTTAACTTTTGATTTTTGATGTAGATTTTAAACAGACACTTTAGTATTTCAAAACTAAATAAGCACAGAATAATTTTGTTGTAAAGTTTTCAGATCATTTAGACCTAATTTCATATGCTCTAATTGTCTTTTGAAATATTCCACTAATGTATGGAATGCATAAACTGTATTTCTTTGTATAAGTATAAATATATTAACTTATTCAAGACTGATTAGAACCCAGTATTTCAGTAACTTTTGAGGAAACAAAAGTGAGTGTCCTTTAGATAATAAATGAATCGTATATACATTTAAAATATTTTATATATATATATATATATATATATGCTGAAGATGCAAAGTTGATAACATAATAATGTTTTTAGATGATTTGTGGGGATGGGTAAGAGTAGGTAGTGGATTCACAGCTATCTATTTGGATAATCAGGGTTGGTCCAAGAATAAAACTCAAAATGAAAGACTTTTAATGTCAGCTTGATAAATATATTAAACACAAGATATTAATAACACTAGTTAAAAGAAGCAATAATTATAAAGTACAGTAAAGTTTTATAATGACTGAAATCCAGTTGGAACATATGGGAAAAGATGCTGATTATATTATAGAGAAACATATGCATTGTACTTAGATACAGAATAAAACAGGAATAATGAAGAATTGGCAAGCAATATTTTCTAAAATCTCAAAAACCCTGCCATTCACTGTACCTTCTATGGAATTTACATTCCTTTAACATAAGAATGTTAAAACCAACACTACAGTGGCTCTCTCTCTATATAAAAAGGACAATATTTCAAAACATTATTTGTTTCCTACACCTAAAATTTAACAGTGGTGAAAGCTTTAAGAAGTCATCTAATTCAAGCTCTTATTTTATAGTCAAAGAAGCTTAGGTTCTGAAAATGTAAATAAATTTACAAAGATCACAAAACTTGGGAAACCAAGACTAGTCTGGCAATCTTTCCTCACACATATATACATATATATATATATATATTTTTTTTCTTTTTTTCCGAGACAGAATCTTGCTCTGTTGCCCAGACTGGAGTGCAGTGGTGTGATTTTGACTCCCTGAAAACTCTGCCTCCCAGGTTTAAACAAGTCTCCTGCCTCAGCCTCCCGAGTAGCTGGGACTACAGGCGTGCACCACCATCTGTATCTATGGACAACCAGTTAGTAGCTATGTTCCGTCTTTGTAATGGGTTTTCCTCCTTCCTCTTTCATGTTCTCTCACCAACATTCCTTCCTTCCTTCCTTTCTTCCTTCCCTCCCTCCTTCCTTTCTTCCTTTTCTTCTTTCATTCTTCTATACCTGACACCATTTCCGTCTTCAAACATTAATATAGCTTGGAGAAACTTTTTTTTTCCTGATGTACCTGAAAGTGTGTTCTTTCTCCCCTTTATAGGCCTCTGCAATCACCACAATAAAATATATAATCATTTGGCCTAAATTTTAATACTACTACTAATAAAAGCCTGACAGGTCTGGTTGTCCCACCTCTGTGTCGTGACTCCCCTTTCACACTTGTAATTTCTTTTAGCTACCTGGACAACGTTTGTCCTCCATCCAATAGCTTTTAAGAAAACCCCTTATTAGTGGAACCATTAAAAATAAACTCTGGCTTCTAAAGAGAAAACACAAACACAAGAGATTCCTTTTGAAATTAGATAAACGATAAAGATTTAAAACCAAATGGAATCTAGAGATTACTTTGTTCCATTTTTTCTTTTGCTGATGTTCAGAAATATTTACATCATTCATTAATGGATGTAATTTGTATCGGCTATTGGCAGAGCTGGCATTTGAAGCAAGTGCTCCTACCTGTTGGATGATCTTAGTTATATTTCTAAGGAACTGAGGGACAACACTTTGTCACGTGTCTTGTTTATGTCCTTTCTCACCTACTCTCTTGTTTGCCCCTTTACCCCTAAACCCAGTGATAGTGTTATTGTTATAGCACATTTACAAATGAAGAAACTGAAGCTAAAATTAAAGTAAGAAATTATGCTACTGGGAGGTGAGGTGTGGAACCCAAAAAATCATACTGTGGGGAGGTGAGCTTTGGTACAAGGTTTGCCAACTTTGTAGTCTGTGTACTTTTAACATAAGCCTTACAGGTAAATAAATTTTAAAAGATATCTCAGTTGATGCATGATTTCTTATGCCCATGATAACAAAAATTATTATGAATGATGATTATCTGAGTCACAAGACAGAGAATGAGTAGATTTTAGTGTCAGGGAGACACATTTAAATTCTGGCTATTCTGCTTACAATGTAGTAGGTCAACAAATGGAGTCATGCTAATTATTGTTCTTACTAATATCTTTCTATGCCTGAAAGCAAAAGTGTTTTATGAGGAAAGCGTATCCATATTAAAAATGTAGGAGGAAAGCAAGGGATCCAAGTTCAGGACAAACTCTTAGAGTGTTCTTTTCTTCTCCAATTATGCCTCCTTATGTTTTAATCAGATGAGAATAACTAGGATAATTTAAGTAAAATTGATAAGAAATACCAGAGAAAAAAATGTGCATAGGAGCAAGTCACAGATGTATCTGTTGGTGAGTTAAAAGTCAACAAGAACAATGAGAACCTTGTTACAAAGTCTAACAATCTATCATCTTGCACAACTGTCAATAGTGAACTTTATAATAAGAAGCATTCCAGTGGTTATAAAACCAAAACTCCCCATTCCATAGGAAAACAGAGATATGGAGAAGATCAGTGACTGAATTTATATGTCTTGTGACAGGATTGGAACTTGTAGCCAGGACTCAGGATTTTGAGTATAGTAGTTCTCCTTGTAGTCTCCAGGCAATGAAATTGATCCCCATTTAAAGAATTGTCTTCTTTATTGATAAGATTAGGCTTTGTCATAAAGAACTATCAATGATTCAATATTAGATGCCAGAAATTATGTAACTTTCTGGTGACAAAAAGTCATCTATCTATCTATCCATCTATCTATCATCTACTTGTCTAATCTATTTAGATAAATAAAACAGCCTCATTCAGGGGCTACACTTGAAGTGTTCTTGGGAAAACTGTTTTCAGCAGTTCTGTGGTGCCCACTCATTAAATATAAGAATACAAAGCCCAAATCAAACTTTAGATGCCATCTGAGCATAGGACTCTGGTACCTCTGGGATGCTCATACTGCTCTAAATAAATAGGTTACTTGGCTAGATTTATTTGGCATGTCTGCTCATGCACACTGGAAAACTGGGACAGGTTTCCAGATCCAAACTGGTGGGAGAATGAAGCAGTGCCTGATGTTATCTGATTAAAATTCATTTGTAAAGTATTATTCAAAAGGATTTCAGAACTATATGAAAAGATAATACAGCTGTATGGTAAGTATTTCAAACAGTTGGATCAGATCTGAATAATGTTGCTAAAAATGCGAATTCAAGCTTCTCAGTGCACCATGTGTGCATTTTGCCCTTGATTACCAGATAAACCAGAGCTTGACTTTTAAAAAGTTATTCTAAGGATATTTGTGCATATTAGAAGATGAAATCATTACAAACAGGATATTCAATTAAAAGAGAAAGATTCCAATTACTTTCTGTTCTGTGAATGTCTCCTCATTTTGGGTGTGATAAAATTGACAGCTTTTGAGATTGATGAGTTCAGATAGTCTTACAATAAATAGACTGCATATTTTGTAGTTAGTCAGCCACAGCCTACATATCCTTCAAGATGTGCATGAGTAATGTTTAAAAATCTGTTTAGAATTTAGTCAGGTGGACTTTAGAATGTAAAGAAAAAATAGGATTATTAAAATTAGTTTAACAATATGGAGTTAAATAAAGAAGAGAAAGACCTCCTGCTTGTGGCCTGTAAAATATAAAAGAAAAAATTAACTTCTAAGCATCTATTTTCTTCTAGTTTCTCATCCAATAAGAATTACTTTGACTTATTAACTTTGTTATTCAATAAACATTTATCAAGCACATCCACTCTATGTCAGACACTGTCTCAAGTCCTGAGTATATCAAGATGAGTAAGATTGATATACACCCTCAAGGAACTTAGAGTCTAATGAAGAGATAGAAAAATACATGTTGATGATACTAAGTACCATTACAGAGAAACCCACAGCGGGCAGTGGGAGCAGAAAGGGAGACTGTAAATCAGTATTGGGTAATGGAGAGTGGCGCCTCACAGAAAGAATTGTTCTTTAAAGTGCTATTGAGTGTTTGTTAAGTGAAAAAGGAGGAAAAAAAAAGCACTCAAGAAAGAAGAAATTCAACATGTCAGAAATGGAGATCTGAGCCACTCTGACTAGTTCAGTGAATCATAAGTAGTTTGATATAACTACTTATAAAAAGAGCGCTTATGGGACGACAGTGAGAGACAAACAGGGCTACTGGCAATTGACAATAACCAGCAGGACTACAATTTCAAGGGTCTTTGATATAAAGCTAATGAATTTGAATTTTGTCCTGAGAGTTATAGGGATTTATTAAAAGGTTTTTACATGTGGGTTGCTTGACAAAAAAATGTGTTTTAGCAAATCGCTTTAACAACAATGTGGAGAATAGCAGGGTGTGGCCAGGGTGGAGACAGGGCATCTCTTAGCATCCTATTGTAATTTATGTAATATAAGGGCAGATGGTAATGGATATGAGAGACATTCAGGAGGTATGAACGCTCAGATTTGGGGACTGATATGATGTGCTTTGGACACTTAAGTAAAAGAAGGGGATCTAAGCTGATTTTTCGTTTACAGTTGGTCAAAGAGTTAGATAAACCAGAAAGATCAGTCAGATGGATAGTAAAGATGATCAGTTTGAATCTCAACATGTTAAATTTTAGTCTTTAGGCTCTACAGAAATGGTTTGAATAGACAGTTGCATATATGGGTTGGAGAGTGAACAGCAAACATTAATAAAGTTAAACTAAAGTAACAGATAAAAATGATGGTAAAAAAGTACCTGTATGCTCTAAATTTGTTCAGACATTTTA